CAATGGTGAACCTCTGGCCTCAGGACTGGTCCCACAGCACCATGTCACCTGGGCCACAGTACCCTCACTTAATCTGCTAACTCCTCACTACACTTCTCCTTCCCTCTTCCTTTTCATATTCACTCCCAGCGAGGCTACCACAAGCACTGGCCCCAGGAGGTTTCCAAGGGTGTAAATCTTTACAGAGGCAGACCACCACATCTTTTTTTATGTGGAGTGGCTGGTAGATTCCAACTGCTGACCTTTGGGTTAGCAGCTGAGTGCTTTAATCACTGTACCACCAGAGCTCATAAGACACAGGAATGTCCCTCACCAATAAGTTTGGTATAAAAGAATGAGTAGGAGACACATATAGAGTTTTTAGAAGGAGTTGGAACTGACTCGATGGCAGTGGGTTTGGCATAAACAAACATAAAATATTATAGAAATGCACTGAAAAATGTAATATGTGCATTCACACACTGAGCATAATACACACTCAATCAGTTCATGTATATGAGGGAAGATATACATGTTTATATATTCATGTAATCTTGCTAGCAAAGTCCCAAATCATAGTTATTAATATATTTGCATATGCATGCATGCATATACCTATAATCACATGTACATTTACAGAAATACACACATTTGCATGTGTGTATGTTCGTACAAACATCCATACACATACATACACATCATCTGGCTCTAGATTTTCTCAAAACTTTTCTTATGGCTCCCACAAAAGCACCTCCTGAGATTCTCTGTTCTTAGCCCAGTTATGCCTGTGAGACCTATCCTTTTTTTCCCGGAATGATTTGCCTGAGTTCACCAGGGAATTATGACTAACAAAATTGGGGGAAGGAGAGGGCCTAGTTCTGAAATCAGGATAAATAGGGAGACCAGTCATGCCCAGTGTCCAGTGAATGAGCTGGAGACCAGGATTGAGACCATCTACATTGAACAGCAGGTGGGTCCTCACAGGGGAGGGGTTGAGATTGCTCTGGAAGATCAGGGTAGGAGATCTGGTTGATAGCATATACGTCCAGGTGAGCTACAACTGGAGTTTTCTGAGAGACAGCTCATTTCTAGCACATATTTTACTTCCTCCTCCTTCGTGTCATTCTCCTTTAAGACTTTTATCCAGAAGACATCATAATAGCAGAAGGACTTTTAGAGTCAGTCTGTGTCCAGCTCCTCTTTGTCAATTGAAGGAATCTTGGGCAGAGAAGCCTTTGTTTGATCAGTCCTTTTTCAATTAGGTACTTAATTACTCTACTTTCTGTGCTTAAATCTGTCTTCCTTCCTTAGGTCTGTTTATCTTTTCCATTCTGCCTCCCATACCAAGTCAGAGACCACTTCTATGTGATAGGTCTTGTTCTATCTGTCCCCCAAGGGCATTTCCATAATCTCCAGGGCCTTGTCACTTATAAATCCAACTCCTCTGATCTATGTCTTTCTCTCTCCCCTCATTTCTCCTTCTGGTAGACCCAGCGTCATCTCCATTCTCACCTCTCTAACATTATCACTAGTTTCCTTATATAGCTTTGTGTGTGTGTGTGTGCTTCAGGTGCAAGTTTACAGAGCAGGGTTTGTTTTACATTCAACATTTTGTGTACATTTAGTTTCACTCCCCATTTACCATTCCCAACCCTAACCCAGTCTCCTCCCCTCACTGCCCAGTAACACCCCTCCGCATGCCCCTCATAGTTATGCACTCCTGTGTGTCCTGCATTTCTTCTCTGAAAATGTTGCCCCTCTGGTGCTCCATGGTCAATTGCTCCAAGGGATGTATTTCCGTAGAGTATGTGGGTGCGTCACCCTGGGTTGAGTGGTCTGCATGTACATCTTGTTTACTATTGGGCTGAGAGCCAGCCCCTGGGAGTGAGTTTTATTACAGGCCCAAAATGTATCTCAGGACCATAGTATTGGGGGTATCACCAGACTCCATCCATCTGACCAGTAATTCTGGTCATTATTGTGTGTTTGGATTTTGTTCCATGTTTTTCCTCCCACTCTATGCAAGATCTCCAGTTTTGATCCTTTCCTGAGTGGTTGGCATTGGTAGCCAGGCACCATCTAGTTCTTCTGGTCTCGAGGGCCATCGTGTCTTAGGGCTGATTGCTTTCAAATGCCCTTGGTTTTTTTTTTTATTTTTTTTTGCACTCTTTGCTTCCCACGCTAGGAGACAATTAGGTGCACCTTAGATAGCTCCTTGAAAGCTTTTAAGACCCCAGTCATTACTCACCAATGTAGCATGAGGAACAAGATTTTTATGTACTTTGTTGTGCCAATTGAGTCTGGTGTCCCCGAGTATGATGGTCCTGAGTCGGCAGATGCATTGGATCTCTCTCCCACTCTGTCTGGCTGTCTGTGAAAGATTACTCTATATCTGTCTTCTGTTGTTTCTGTAAGGATTGTGGGTATTTTGTATCCCTCTTATCTGTGCAAGATTAGCCTCAGCTGAATCTGTCCTTGGTCTAGAGCATAATCCTGTTCAGTGACCCTCCATCTGATCTTCTCAGATGTTTATGTAGTCTGGTGTTTGTTGTTAATGGTAATGTAGTATTGTGGATATACTGGTTGGTATTAGTGTCTGTTATCTATATCTTATGTCCTTATACAGCTTTGTCAGATTTCCTTTCTCTCCTAATTTTAACTTTAGTTTTGCCACAAAGCAGGTATGTGACTTTGGCCAGAGAAAAGCCAATTTCTCACACCCCCAAGTTGTAAATGGATGTGATTAAGTCCTTTTCAGTACTGTGTGTATTAATAAGATAACATATACAAAGATAATATATATAAAGGATCCTTCAAATGTGTCTGATACATAGTAGTAAATCAATACATTGTATTTCCTATTCTCATAATTTTTTTCTTTGCTGGAGCAAACATTAGGTTTTACCCTCTCCTTATAATACTTTCCACTCAAACCTCACACCTCATTTACTAGAACCACTTTCCACAATTACAACTTCTCTTGTGTAAGAACATTAAGTAAGTATTTACTTTTTACTTGTAAGTAAAAAGGACATTACATAATCATTCTGTTCCTAAAAAAAATCACTGCTATCAAGTCAATTCTGATTCACAGGGACCCTGTAGGACAGTAGAACTGCTTCTAGGATTTCCAAGACTGTAAATCTACAGAAGGAAATTGTCTCATCTTTATCCTGTGGAACAATTGATAGGTTCAAATCACTCACCTTTTGGTTAGCAGCTGAATGCCTTCACCACTGCACCACCAGAGCTTGTTCTGTCCTCAAAGAGGTCCTCTACTTATAATAGAAGACAAAGCCCTTTCCTCACCCAATACACAACCTGGAATAATATCACTGCTTATTAGTTTGCACGTTCTTTCCTGTCACCCTCCCTTTTCTTCTCCTTTCCCATACATTAAGCCCTGGTGCTACGCTGAAAATATAGGCTCCAGATCTTCCCTAGAAGAGCTTGCAGACCACTAAGAGAAAGTCTCTTGTACAATTAATTTGCCATTTAAGAAGGCGAGTGCTTGATTGAAGAAAAATGGTGTGGAAAGCTTCTGTAGATGCTGCATGGATGAGGGAGGAAAGACAGCACAGGAGAGTTGACATCTGAGCTGGATAATATAAAAATAAGGAAGGTGTGGTTGTATTCGTTTTAAAATATAATTTGTATTTGAGCTAATACGCAAGAGCTAAGGAACAGAAAGAAAGAAGAGGAGAAGGGTGGAGGGGAGAAGAGGAGAGGAGAGGACAAGAAAGAAAACATGGAGTAATACTAGGAAGGGAAAGACAAGTTAGAATGTGTTAGGGTTTATAGAGCAGTAAAGTTCAATTCTCTCAGTGGAATTCCACACGCAATTAAGAATTGCATACTTCAAAGAGGACACATGTATTAGATAGACAGGAATGTCCTTTCATCTGTAACAATGACATGAGCAATAAAAAGCACCTTTCCCCTTCTTAATTCTAATTGATAGATCATGTTCAGGGGCCACTGCCTTTCTCTCCAACACAGCACCTTGAATATACAGGGGGATAACATATATTTTAGGATCAGTTTTTTTTTTTTTTTTTTTCTCTCACTGTTCTCCAAAATTAGCTTACCTGACAAAGGACAATGTAAATTGTAAACCTAAAGCTTGTGCTGGATCCCAGACTACTTTTCCTTTCCCATAACCCCTATCATGGACATCACCTCAAACTTTATCTGTTACCTTTTTATATACATGACAGGCACTACTCAGTACTTTAGCAGTCCTATAGAATTTCTCATTTCTCATGTCAATTTTTTGTTTGTTTGTTTTTAATATTCAGAGTGTCTTGTACAGAACAATTTTTTTTTTAATCTGAGTAATATCCAGTGCCCCTGGTGGTTCAAAAAGCAGTACCAAATTATTTCTTAGGGACATTCCAGATAGTTAAGAAGACTCAACAAAATGAGCTTAAAGTTAAAGATCCAAATTTTATATCTTCAATCAAGAAATTTTTGAGAAATTACATATTTTAAGTAATTAAGAAGTTTCTTAATTACAAAAAAAAAATTATATTATCTGTGAGGATGGGGAAAGAACTGAATGACAAATATGTATGTGAAAAGTCAATGCCTGGTTGTTATTGATGATGAATAATTACTATTAGTATCATCATTTCTCCAACAATAACATTATTGATAATATATTGTATGCTAATTGCTACATATACATTCACTTGACATGGGACTTATTCAATTTTTACCCAGATACACGCAGTGAAATTACTATGGTGATAAGGTTGAATTGTGAATAGTAAAATTTCCCATCAAATTCCCTTATTCTGTAGATATCCCTATTTGTAAGTCATGACTCCACATTTTCATTCAGTTGAAGAACAACTGGGCATGGAATATGAGGAGAGGCATGAGCTGGCAGTTAATATTAGATAGAACAATTTTCAGGTCGTTCTTAGTTTCCAACATCTTGCCCTTTATTTATCTCACTCCAGGTTGCATCCTTGGCACCTGCCTAAGCCAAGGTCTGCAGACTCGAGACATAGGAAAAAATGATCAACAGCAGTCAATCAACCCCAAACTATTTTCTACTCACTGGTTTCCCTGGTCTAGAGGGCCTGTATCCCTGGTTCATCTTCCCATTCTGTTCCACATATCTTGTGGCCCTTGCGGGCAACAGCCTGATCTTGACAGTGATCAAGAAAAACACCTCTCTCCACCAGCCAATGTACTTCTTCCTCGCTATGCTGGCCTTTGCTGAGCTTGGTGTTTCGGCCTCAACACTGCCCACAGTGCTGAGCATCTTCCTTTTTGGTGCCAATGAGATCTGCTTTGAAGCCTGCCTTCTGCAGATGTTCTTCATACATTCTTTTTCTATCATGGAGTCAGGAGTTCTGCTGGCTATGTCTGTAGACCGCTTTGTGGCCATCTACAACCCACTGAGGTATACTAGCATCTTGACCTTGTCCCGTATTGCTTGCACTGCTGCTGCCCTTGGACTGAAGAGTGTGATGCTCATGTTCCCACTGCCCTTCCTCCTAAAGCGTCTGCCCTTCTGTGGCCACAACACTCTCTCCCATTCTTATTGTCTACATTCAGATCTGATCCAGCTGCCTTGTGGGGACACTCGTCCCAACAGCATTCTGGGGCTCTGCATCGTCACTTCAACTTTTGGCCTGGACTCATTGCTCATTGTGGTCTCTTATGTGTTGATCCTCCACACGGTGCTGGGCATTACCTCTGGGGAAGGACGGCAGAAGGCCCTCAACACGTGTGTGTCACATATCTGTGCGGTGCTTGTGTATTATGTGCCCATGATCAGTGTGGCTCTGGTGCACCGCTTCATGAAGCATGCTGCACCTGCTCTCCGTCTACTCCTGGCCAATGTCTACCTTCTGGTGCCTCCCGTACTCAATCCTATCATCTACAGTGTTAAGACCAAGCAGATTCGCCAGGGGTTGATACGACTCTTCCTTCAAAGAAAATATTAAGGGTGTTGAGGAAGAGAAGATGACCAGCCAGTTTCATAACCAAAGCCTGTCCAGGGAGAAAAGGAGTGTTCATCACCTCAGTAAAGTTAGAAAGCTTATTAATGCTATATTTTGATGCATTGAGTGTATATATATTTTCATATGCTATAGGTGGTAATCTAAATTACTATAGTAGAGTTTTTGTCAGCCATTTTGTTGTATGTATCATCTTAAAATGCAGCACATGTCCTATAACTTAGAAATTACCGTTCTTAGCACTACCCTACATTCTTCCTGTGATATTTGCACACAGGCTCAGAGACTTAAATAAGAATTTTGACTTTAGCAATATTCAAAATGGGGTAAAAAAAAATCAAACAAAACTAAAACTAAGAGTTCACAAATGAATACCCATACTACAGAATATTGTGCAATAAGAAAAAAAAAACTGATGTTTCCTTGCATGGAATAATATTCAAGGCACACTGATAAGTAAGAAAAAGCAAATATTACACATACAATACACACACACACACACACACACACATGTGTGAATGTACTAACATTACTATACAGTAATTTAAGCAATACTATCAATTTGTTTATAAATATGTGTATATGTTAATATAAATGTTAAATGCATGTAAAATATCTACAAAAATATTAATGACTTTTTAATATTTAATATTTAGTAAGATAAGCTTTGATATTTGAAGAAAAATTAAAGGAGACTTTCACTATATCTGTACTGTCTAAAAATTTTCAATCAAAACTAATGAATCCAATACTCCTGTTATTTAAGTTATATATATATATAACGTATATATATATGACTAAACCTACTGCTATCAAGTCAATTCTGACTCATAGTGACCACCACATGGCTTAAAACCAAAGAAAAAAAAAAAAACAAATCTTTAAGGCAGCAGACTGCCTCATCTTTATCCCAAGGAGCAGCCGGTAGGTTCGAACAGCTGACCTTCTGGTTAGCAGACCAATGTCTTAACCACATCACCACTAGAGCTCCTTTATATATATAATGCACTGAATATAATAATATAATAAATGATACAATGTTCAGTATATGCTCATCTATATGCTGAACACCTGTCCACAATTTGGAATCAATTAAGAGCAAAATACATACTAAGAGCCAAGCCTCATGACTGAGAATATGCACTGAGAATAAACCCAGATGGAAGAATTTTGGAAATCAGCAATCTGTAAGTTCTTGAGGAATCCTGGCTTTCAGGAATAACACAAGTTCCTCTAGCTAAGACCTTACTGAAAGAATTCATTGTAGATGGATGTTAAGGTGACAATTGGAGGGAAGACAGAATAAATTTACTCAATCTAGATATCCCCAGTTGGCTTGCAAATTTGAAATGTGAGCTTTCAGGAGTTGGGTGGATATGAAGTCATTCCAGACTGAATGTTAGTAAGATAACATAATAGGGGAAAATTTTCTGAGAATGGGAAAGCCTTGTGTTATTTGAATTTGGGGCCTCAGTTTACAACAATTCATATCTCCTTCAGAGTAACATTCAAGTGGCCATCAAGACTTGAGTGCTTCCAACTCCCTTATGCATTCTCAGAGAATCATTGCTTTTTATCCTTTATTTCATATCACATATCACAATTGTAATCAGGTAATAATCTATATAATGTTTTTTTAATATCTGTCTCACTCTGTGAATTTTACATTCAATGAGACACAGCTGTGTCTCTCTTGTTCACCATAATCATTCAATGTCTCCTATAGTGCCTGGAATATACTTGTTGTTGCTGTTAGGTGCCATCGAGTCATCTCCGACTCATAGTGACCCTATGCACAGCAGAACAAAACACTGCCTGGTCCTAAGCCAGCTCTGTGATTCTTACTATGGTTGAGTCCATTGCTGCTGCCACCATGTCAATCCATCTCATTGAGACCCTTCCCCTCTTTCTTGACCCCTCCACCTTACCAAGCTTGACAACCTTCTCCAGGGAATGGTCCCTTCTAACAACATGACCAAAGTATGTGAGACAAAGTCTGGCCATTCTCGCTTCCAAGGAGCATCTCGGGTGCACTTCCTCCATGGTACTTTCAGTATCCTTTGCCAGCACCACAACACAAAAGCATCAACTCTTCTTCAGTCTTCCATCCTTATTCACTGTCCAGCTCTCACATGCATATGAGGTGATTGATAATACCATGGCTTGTGTCAAGTGCACCTTAGTCCTCAGGGAGACATCTTTGCTCTTCAGTCCTTGAAAGAGTAGCCGATTTGCCCAGTGGTATACATAGTCTGATGTCCTGACTGCTGCTTCCATTGGTGTTGATTGTAGAACCAAGCAATGTGAAGTCTTTGACAATTTAAATCTTTTCTCCATTTATCGTATTGTTGCTTATAGGACCAGCTGTGAGGATTTTTGTTTTCCTTATACTGAGATGTAATCCATCCTGCAAACTGTATTCTTCACTAAGTACATAAAGTCATCCTCACTTTCAGCAAGCAATGTTGTGTCATCAGCATTTCGCAGGTTATTAATGATTCTTCCTCCAATCCTGTTGCCACGTTCTTCTTCATATAGTCCAGCTTCTTGGATTATTTGCTCAGCATACAGATTGAATAAGTATGGTGAAAGGATACAACCCTGACACCCTCCCTTCTTGATTTTAAACCATGTACTGTTCCCTTCTTCTGTTTGAATGACAGCCTCCTAGTCTATGTACAGGTTCCTCATGAGTACAATTAAGTGTTCTAGAATTCCCATTCTTCTCAATGTTATGCACAATTTGTTATATCCACACAATCAAATGCTTTTGCATAGTCAATAAAACACAAATAAACATCTTTCTGGTATTCCTTCCTTTCAGCCAAGATCCATCTGACATCAGCTACGATATTCTTTAATTCACATCCTCTTCTGAATCTCACTTGCATTTCTGGAAGTTCTCTGTCAATATATTGCTACTACCATTTTTAAAATATCTTCAGTAAGATTTTACTTGCATGTGATCTGAATGATATTGTTTGATAATTTCCACATTCTGTGGGATCACCTTTCTTTGGAATGGGTACAAATATGGATCTCTTTCAGTCAGTTGGCCAGGTAGTTTTCTTCCAATCTCTTGGCATAACTGAGTGTCTCCAGTGGGGCATCCATTTGTTGAAATATCTCAATGGGTATTCCATCAATTCCTGGAGCCTTATTCTTCACCAATTCTTTCAGTGCAGCTTTGATTTCTTCCTTCAATACCATTGATTCTTGAACATATGCCACCTCCTCAAATGGAAGATCGATCAGTTCTTTTTGGTACAGTGACTCTGTATATTCCCTTCATCTTCTTTTGATGCTTCCTACATCATTCAATATTTTGCCAATGGAAAGTTTCAATATTGCAACTCAAGGCTAAATTTTTTTCCTCAGTTCTTTCAGCTTGAAAAATGCTGAGTGTGTTCTTCCCTTTGGGTTTTCTAACTCGAGGTTTTTGCCCATTTCATTATAGTAATTGGCTTTGTCTTCTCAAGCTGCTCTTTGAAATCTTCTGTTCAGCTCTTTTATCTCGTCATTTCTTCCATTTGCTTTAGCTACTCTTCACTCAAGGGCAAGTT